ATCTGGAGCCCTCCCCTTTGCCCCCATCAAATCTCCCTTCTTTCATACTTATCTATATACATGTTACATTCCCTCCACTTCTTAGACTGTGAGCTACCTGAGCAGGAATCATGTCTGTCATCTTTGAAAGCAGGACACATATAGTGAGGAAAATGAGGCCGAGACAAGAAAGAGGACCTGCTGAAGCGAACACAGCTGGCAAATCACCCTCGCATACAGTACTTAGTAAACATTTATTGAATTAAATCAAACTGAACTTTTCAGCCAAAAGGACCAACCTAACACAGCGCCGCCTCTCTTCTCTCTCCCCAGAGGGTTTGAGAAACAAACCAGAAAATATTCTTCTTCCGTACACAAAACCGGAGGCCAGCTATACACACACCTGCAACCCCACAGACATTCCAGCTGCTGCAGCAACTCAAAAAAAGGCAAAAGAGCTGGGGAAGGTCCCCAAGAGAGGTTTCACTATGATGATACACTTACTAAATTTTTTTTTAAATGGCCCCTTCAGAGTATAGGGCTGAAAGCTCAAAAGGGACATTTCTTATGCTCATGGAATTGCAATGGGCTTAAGTGGAGAGAGAGCATGGACTCAATTAGCCAATAAATCCGTGAACAAGAGCTAAAGAGTGATCGTGAAAGCTGAGAGCTCATTTTTAAGATTAAAAAAAAACACATCAAGGAATAAAATTGAGGAACTTGTTCCTATTAGAGGTGCTAGAGGCCAACAACATAAACAGGCTTGATGTGGGTTTAGAGAAATGCATTCCATAATAAACCAGCATGCCACTTCAGCACCATCCTTCTATTTCTTCAGCATGAAATGCTATTTTTAAAAAGAGGGGTGGGGAAGGATAAGGAAAATAGAGGGTTTATAAAAGTCACCACATCTGGTGACCAGAAAGTGGTGGGAAAGGGCAAGCCCAAGACCACCAGAGAGTGACTTGGAGAGTTTGACTTTGTTCATGGTAAACTCTGGAACACATCATTAAAGAGATGGTTTATGAACACTCAGAAAAGGAAAGTGTCCACTAAGAGACAGTCAGGGCTCACCAAGAGTAGACCATGCCAGACTCATCTCACTTTATTATTTTATTTCTAACAATGTTACTAGACTCATGGGTCCACAGAATTCCTTTGTCACACAGAATACTTGAATTTCAACACTGCATTTCACAAAGCTTCTCCCAAAAGGCAAAACAGGATGCAGAGATGTGGGCTAGGAGACAGTTGAGTTTAATGGATTCAGAAAAGGTTGAACAATCAGATTGAACGACTAGTGATCACTGGTCGAGGAGAATGTTACAGGGATCTGTCCTGGGCTCTGATTCAGAGAAAGGAGAAATGACAGGATTAGATAGAGATTTAGAGCTGGAATGAATTTCAGAGGTTATATATTCAAACCCTTCCATTTACAGAAAAAGAAACTGAGGCCCAGGGAAGTTAGAGAGACTTGCTCAAGATCACTCAGTCAGAATTTAGACCCAGATCCTCTACTGCAAATCCAGGGGTTTTCCACTGGAAGAAGTTCACCATGTTCTGCTGAATCTTTTTATCAAGAACTGAGATGAAGGCATAGATGTCACGCAGGCACATTAAATTTGCAGAGGACATAAAATCGGAAGGGTTAGCTAACATGCTGTATGATAGATCTGGGATCCAAAAAGATTCCAGCAGGCTAGAATGATAGATAGAATCTAACAAAAATGGAAATGATAGAGATAAATCCCAAGCACTAGACTTGGGTTCAAAACATCCACTGTACGAGGAGAGTATAGGAAGTATGGGGAAGACATGGTTGGACAACAGTTAATATGGAAGTCATATTGGGCTGCAAGCAGTATGATGGGTAATTCTATTAGTTAATGAAATCATCTGCTATATTAAAGGAAATATCCATAGAATTGTGAACTCTCTGAGGGCAGGAATTTTCTTTTGCCTCTTTTTTCATCCCTCAGCACTTGGCACAATGCCTGATATATAGCAGACATCTAATAATGTTTATTGATTGACTGAAGGTAAAATTCTGTTTGAAGACCTCCAATGACAGGGAACCACACTGACACCGTCCAATTCTAGATGTTGGAAGGATACTTCTCAGTGAAGTTGGAAGGAAGGTGGCATGCCAAGAACGACAGGGAAAAGGAGCTAGAAGAGAATAGGGGAGGGGTTTGGAATATGACAGAAGCGTCTGCATGCTTCCAGCAGCAATTCCGACCTTGGTTATGTGCCCTTTTATTTATATGTGGGATTTCTGTTCATGGACAACTCTAAAATTTTTAATAGGTTTCTTTGTTTAAGAAATAGGAATGGTGACCATTCTGGACGTGTAATGTGGGGAGAGATTGGATGGGACGGCTTCCATCTGGGGAGTGTCAGCAGTTAGGAAGTCGGCGGTTGAGGAAATGCCTCGTAACTGAGTCCTCCTGCTGCCCACCTCTGCCGTTCCACTTAGATAATTAAATGAATGTGTGAAAAAAAAAAGAAGTAGGAACAAGACCAAGTGACCTCCTTAAGACCCGTGCAGCAGGAGGTTATGAACAAACGGTAATTCCAAAACAGAATCTGGGAGTCTGCCTTCCATCCCTCACACTTTCCATATTGTATTTTCTCCACCCAGGAACACAAGCAACCTTAGTGCTCACCTCTTTTCTCTCATTAAGAAAAAAAAAGTCACTTGGTAACTTTTAGAGACTCAGCCCAAAGACTGAGGGTCCAGAGGATTAACAGGAGCCCTTGGTCTCATCCTCACCTCCTCCACAAGAAGCCACCTGAATGGGAGACCATGCCAGGCCTGATGCAAAGCAAATGGAATGAAGCATTTTCCATCAAAGGGCTGGCCCTCACTACCCAGCCCTGACACAGACGATCACAGACACCCTCGGAAAATGGCTCCAAAAGCAAACACAGTAATGTCCTGGCCACCAGAACTGAGTCACGAGTATTGTAGGTACAACTAAGCGGGCAGTCACTTTCCCACAGATGGCCTGCCTCTTCAGGGCTGACAAGTCCAGGAAGCTTAAGTGATTCTGAGAGCTGAGCTTGATGTCAGAAGGCCTATGTCTTCCACATAACTACCTTGGGCGAGTCATTTAAGGAAGGAAACAAGCATTTATTAAGCACCCACTGTGTGCCAGCCACTGTGCTAAGGGTTTTACAGATATCTCATCTGATCCTCACAACTCTTTGAGGTAGGTGCTATTTTTGTCCCTATTTCACAGTTGAGGAAACAGAGGAGGACAGAGGTTAAGTGACCCAGGGTCATGGAGCTAGTAAGTATCCAGTCCTGGCTCCAGGCTTAGCATCATATCCACTGTGCCAACTAGCTCCACTCATAAGGCTCAGTCTCCTCATCTGTGAAATGAAGGGGTTGGATCAGGTGACTTCCAAGGTCCCCTCAGGCTCCAAATCTACGAGCTGTGTGACTACTCAGAGGATCTATGACTTTTGCCAACAAAGGAAACTCTTGGCATGGGAATGTGATCCCCAGTAGAGATCAAAAACTATCCATGCTTAGACACGTACTAAGAAGTTATCTATAGTACGTGGAGGGTGCGTGACTTGACCAAGGTCACATGACTTATAAATGCCAGAAGCAGGACTGGCAGTCCATTGACTACAACCCACCCCCACCCCAACCACTGCGCCACTCTTTCCCACCATGCCAGACCTGCCTGTCACGCGAGGACTCTTGACTTTTTTTTTCAGTGCCCTCTGGCAATGTGGTGAAGATTACAGACCCCTTCTCAGAATTTTAAGCACACTAAACAAAACACACATGGGGCAGCTAGGTGGCACAGTGGATAGAGCACCAGCCCTGGATTCAGGAGGATCTGAGTTCAAATCTGGCCTCAGACACACAACGCTTACTAGCTGTGTGACCCTGGGCAAGTCACTTAACCCCATTGCCTAGCCAAAAAAACCCAACTAAACAAAAAAAAACCTAAATAAAACACACAGGATTGCAAAGAAAACCAGAGACTAATGAAAATAAAGAAGTCATTTTTTTCCCCTCCAACAAGTTCATGTCATTATCTATGGACTCTTGCCAGCACTGTGACGCTAGACAAGTCACTTAACCTCAGACTGCCTCAGTGTCCTCCACTGTAAAATGGGGACAATAATAGTACCTTGCCTCCTTGGGTCAGTGTGAGGCTCACCTAAGATAATATTTGTAAAGTTCTCAGCACAGCGGCCAGCACACAGTAGACACTTCATGCTCATATTCTTCCTTCCTCCAGGCTTAAAACTCTTGCTGTAGCAGATACGACTAAAAATTTATCATACGCTCATAGAATAAGAGCTGAAAGGGACCTTAACGGTCACCAAGTCCCATCTCTTCATTTTACAAATGACACAACAGGTCCACAAAGGTTACATACCCACCTGGGGTCACAAAGTCACTAAGCATCTGGGGCAACTCCAAGTTCAGTGCCTCAGCCATTAAACCCTCCTGCCCTCCTGCCCACCTCTCTCTTAAACGGCTAAGAACAGGGACCTCGGAGGATGATCAGCAGGCTTGACAGGCACTGGAAATACTTATGAAAAAGTTAAATTAATAAAGATAACACTATCCTGGCAAGTATTCTCAGGGTGTGTACGGTTGGTGGTTCACTGGACGGCAGGTTTAATTTTTTAAGAAGTTCTGGGGTCATTAGCGTAATACTGCCCCCCCACATACATACATTTCCCTGGCCTCACCCTCCACGCCTCTCTCTAGATTGCTACATTCAGAATGTACCAAGATTTCCATTATCACCCTTTATTAACCGACTAGCCTACACCATTTTTCCCAGAAAGAGAAAAGCAGCCAGATTCTGTTCTGAGCTAATAACAGCACCTTACACATCAGGTTGTTGTGAGGATCAAATAAGATACTATTTGTGAAGCTCTCTGCATAGCACCTGGTATACAGTGGGCTCTTAATACTTGGTTTTTTTCCTTCCCACAAGCTGATGGACCATCCTCGGAGAAGAGGAACAGAAAAAACCGGAACTTACCCTTCCTGAAGAATGAATTCAATATTTTCCGGAGAAAACTGTCCAGTCACAGGATGCCTAAACACTGTGGTCTGCTGATTGTGGCTAGAGAGAGAGAAAGAGAATGAGAATGAATGTGAGCAGGAATCTGGACTGTGAAAAATATAACTTGAGACAAGACAACATTTCTGAAATGGCTGCATATTTACTGAAGTTCCTCTCTCAACACAGCTGCTTCCACTGTAGCCGTGAGCTGAGCCCGATTGCCGGGGGATTACGGGGTTTGCAGCCTTCTCCATCATTCATTCTCTCGTCCGCGTGTTGAATGTGGCGAGGGCATGTAGGATTTATGAAACAGACCACCACCCAGGCTGACTCAAGCATCAGTCTCCCAAAATGAGGAAGACACCAGAAGCCAAATGCATTTTTGCCATCGTGAGAATTCACTAAGCATTTTTTAGAAGTACACAAGGGTCTTACTAGTCAAAATTAAGAAATCTCCTAGTCATTTTCAAACAACATGATCTTAAAAAGCAAAGACCAAATGGATAACAGGATGAAGCATTTTTTGGTAGATGGCAGAGGTGGGGGGGAATATGGGTACAGAATACTGTATACTTTGTCCCCCCCTTTTTTTAAACACTGGTGAGTTCACTGGTGGCTGGGAGTTTATTAAGAAACAATGATGTCGAGGCAGCTAAGTGGCGCAGTGGATGGAGCAGGAGTCCCAGAGTCAGGAGGACCTAAGTGTTCATATCTGGCCTCAGATATTCACTAGCCATGTGACCCTGGGCAAGTCACTTAACCCCAATTGCCTCAAAAAAAAAAAAGAAAGAAAGAAACAACGATGTCATAGAATAAAACTGGTATCAATAATTTGTTTGTTGTTCAGTTGTGTCTGCCTCTTTGTGACCCTATTTGGGGTTTTCTTGGCAGAGATACTCGAGTGGTTTGCATTTCCTTCTCCAGCTCATTTTACAGATGAGGAAACTGAGGCAAATAAGGTTAAGTGACTTGCCCAGGGTCACACAGCTAATAAGTGTCTGAAGCCAGATTTGAACTCAGGTTTTCCTGACTCCAGGTCTGGCACTCTATCCACTGTGTCACATAGCCACCCAGTATCAATAATACTTAAAACTTAAACAGAAGGGATAAGGACAAGACCTTATTTCATTGCTACAGCAAACTTCCAGGAAACTTCTCTCTATATCCAAGGCTCTCTGCATCTTACAGTCTTAGGTAATCATAAAAATAATAACAGTAAAATTAAAAGAAATACATTTTAAGAATTGAATGAGTTCTAAGAATCAAATTCTAAAAAAAAAGAAAAATGCTAAGAACTAGTCATTCTGCAAATTTTGTCTGCTTAAAATGCTTCAATTTTGCCACTGTTCTAATAGAATGCTTCTATTTCTTCAGTCTAGGATGATTTCAACCCCATGGCACTGTCACCTCCTTTGGAAAGGTGAGAGTACAGGTGCCCCTAGGAGCAGTAGCCCAGGGCAGGTGCTGTGTGCCGTGTTTGGTCAGGCCAAATACAATCACGGCTCTTTTTTTTCTGGTACAAACAGACACTTTTATTAATGGTTGGAATGCAGTCACACCTAGGGAGCAGGGATCAGCAGGCACACAGCCAGGGATGTCTCAGAGTAGGCACAGGATGTGGGAGGTCCCAAGGTTAGAAAATAGTCCCCCTTTTTTTTTGTAGCTAAGTTCACTTCAGAAGGGTTCTTGTTTTCCCCACCAGTAACAGTCACAGGGATGACAGTCCATAGTTGGAAGGGACCTCAAAGGCTTTCTAGTTCAACTCATCCATTTTAGAGATGAGAAAACTGAAGCCTAGGAAGGTGTGCTCAGGGTTCCAGAAGTTGTTAAAAGGCAGAACTGGGATCTGAATCCTGCTCCTGGGACCCAAACAAATAAATAAATAAAAATTCAATTCATTTTCATGACCTGGGACGCCATGTAAAGACCACTAAGTTGGAATCAATGGAGCTGCATTCAAGTCTGGGCTCAATCGCTTTTGCTGACCCAAAATGTGGGAAAATGAACAAGTCACTTTATCTCTGACATGGGACTCAGGGCCCCTCATCTGTAAAATGGGATAATAATCTTTGCATTCCCTACCTCGAGGGGTTGTGGTGAATTATGATGTAAACTGTAAAACTCTGAAGAGATGTGAGCTGCTTCATTACCACCCTGATTACTGTTCTGCCAGAACCTGAGGGTGGTACCTTACTGGGGAAGACATTCTCACGGGATCTTACTTATAATAACAATCATCGTTGACATTTCTGTAATACCGTCGGGATTACAAGGCACTTTCATCACAACCACCTCATGATATACATAGTACAGGTGTTCTTATCCCCACATTTTTCAGATGAGGCAACTAAGTTGAGATTTGAGCACAGATCTTCAGACACAAATCCAGGGCCCTTTCAACACCACCAGTGATCTCAAACTCAAAAAGAAATGGGTTCCTATTGACTTAGAAAACCACAAATTAACATTACATTTTACTGTATTTTTATTTATTTTGTTAAACATTTCCCAATTACATTTTAATGTGGTTTGGGCCACTCTGTGGTTGTAATTTTGCCTGTGGTCTGAGTTGGATACCTCAGGACTACATCATACCGTATTTCATTAATTTAGCTTTGCAGAGAGATTTATAACAAAGACAAGCCCGGGCCTTCAAAGCATTGCTAGGCTCCAAGTCTGCTCTGGTCCTTCTTACACCAACGGTCCATTATCCTGGCACCCTGTCCCCTCTGCAGGTCTGTGGATCGGGGAGGGATCTAATTACAAGTGCAAGAGCTCAGGTCCTAACAAGTCTGGTGTGAAACATGCAAAGCCACTGCCATGGAGTTTCATTTCCCAGCTCTCTGGGCTGGACATGAAGCAAGAAACAAATCAGGCAGGCAAGAAGAAGCCCCGTCACACCAAGTCAAAAGGAGTGTCTGGAGGATGTGTGAGAAGCACCTGCTTAAAAAGATGCCCACAAGGCCCACGGCTCCCCATCCATGTGTAGGATTCCAGGATCCAGAGCCAGATGGGACCATTGAGGTCCTCTCCAGCCCCCTTCATTGACACATGAAGCCCAGAGAGGTTGTCTTGTCCAGAGTTATTAAAGAGTGAGGCTAAGATTTGAACCCAGGTCCTCTAACCTCAAAGCCAGTGTCCTTTCCATTGTTCACTGCCCCTCTCTGCCCAAACCTCGATATGCTGGGGCCTCAGATTAAGTGAATATGGATTGGTGCTCTTGAGATGCACTATTTCTTCCAGGTATATCAACTTGGACACCTCTTAACACAAGTCAGTCCATGCTACCATCCAGTTTAATAAGACCTTGGGCCAGCCCTGCCTTTATTCATACTCTGGGCTGTTTGAGGGAGCCACATCTCTTTTTCTTTTCCCTAGAGACCACAAACACAGGAGGCTCTAAGTCCCCCGGACCCAGATAGGGGAAGGCACTGCCCCTGTTGGGCTCAGCAGAGGCTCTCCTTCCATAGACTTTGGAGATGATGGCATCTTCTCCAACAGGGTGCCCTCAAAAGAGCATTGGAGGACCTGCAGATACCCCTACTGTGGCTCCTCTTTAAGGTGACATGCATTGGCAGACAGGGTTCAATTTCTTTTTTGGACAAAGTGTGCAATCCTCAGTGGGCACCTAATAAAATACCGTACAATACCCCTACTGTGGCTCCTCTTTAAGGTGACATGCATTGGCAGATAGGATTCAATTTCTTTTTTGGACAAAGTGTGCAATCCTCAGTGGGCACCTAATAAAATACCGTACAATCACAAGCAGCAACCACTGCCGTCCTACAGCTCAAACTGGCTCAGGCTCTAGTATCAAAGGGCCTTTTAGGTTGCGAAGGCTGGTTTCAAAGTGGGTCTCGCTCTCCAACACAGTTAATGAGACAATGGGAGAAATGGGTTAAGACAAGGTCGTTTGCTCATTTGGCAAAGCCTGGTGGCAAGTACCTGGCCTCACCTCCGTAAAAAGGCCAGTTATACTGCTACCCAGTACTCTGAACCAAAAGCAATACTAAGCCAATATGAGGGCAGGACAACTGCGGCTTTGACCCAGGTCTCCAAATTATTTAGAGGGTGCTGATAGCAATTCTACTCCTTTAGCAGGGAGGAACAATTAAGATGAGTACTGTGTTTGCAATAATAATTAGCTAAAATAAGAAGCTAATGGATATCACAGGTTTTCAGTCCCATAGATTCCTGGGTTCTAGGTCTCACTCTTACCCTCCCCTTCCAATAGAATTTCTCTTGCCCAGGCACCAGAATTGCTAGTTATAGCTCTGCTGAAAGCACAAGACATCAATTCCTAGAAACTCAGAATTAGAATGGGACTCAAGAACATCTAGTCATTTTAACAGGTGGAGGAAACTAAGGCCTACAGAGAAATGACTTACCCAAGGTCACAGTGCTAGCTCATGGCAAAGTCAGGACTTAAACCTTGGTCTCCTGACTTTCTGGGCTGGTGTTCTTTACACTTCATTGTGTTATCCAAACCACTTTTGGGCTGTGTAGTTCCAATCTTGTGTGCATACAAGTATGCCCCTATCTCAGCCCAGGGCCCCCTGAGATGCTTCAGCCTGTTCTGTTTCCTGATACTTAGGCTGAACCCTTCCAATGAGCCTGTCTTGGGACGTGATGAACAGGTACGGACACATCTGCTGAAATACCTGTTTCTGAACCTGCGCTGCCGCCCTCTTCCTTGGCCAAGAGGGTCAGGCTTTGAGCCAGGTGGCTGTTTCAGATGGAGAGGAAGAGCTCTCCCTCCTTTAAAAAAAAAAAAAGACACCGGGGTTTGGGTCCCTCCTTTGTCATCCTGGGAATGAAACTCTTAGGAGGCAGCAAAACCCAAGCCACAGTGCCATGCTTCCATTCCATTTAACACGGCTGCACTGGGTGCTGGGGGGGGATGCAAAGATGAGTGAGACAGAGTCTTTTCTTTCAAGAACTTCAGTCTAGCAAGGAAGATAATATGGCAGAAAACAACCATGGTGCCAATACAGGCCCTAAGTGCATGGGAGAGGTACAAGGTGTGATGAGAATGTAGGAGGGGGAAGCATTTACGAAAG